AGAAAATAAGAAATACATAGATAGGATAAAGAGAGGAGAAGAACTAGATGATGGCAGCAAGGAATTCCCAGGACAGCTCCAAGCTCTCTTCTCTCTTTGTGGTGAATCTGAATGTGTGTATGAGAGTAATGGATGAAGTGAAAATGTGTATCTGACTCTCTATATCTTGAATGAGTGTGCAGTTCTCTATTTATAGAGTGCAATTTCGTCCTCCCCTTTGGCTGGTGAAGCACATCTTTCTTAATTGCTCCCAACTGCCCATACTTGTCAACTGCTCCAGATGCCCATACTTGCCACCCGCTCCAGCTGCCAAATACATGCTTTGGTATGGTTTCTTTATGGAAAGCTTGACTTTTGTTCATCTTTCTAAGTTCCTGAGCTGATTTGACTCCCATGTATGGCTGCCCATGTGTAGCACATGGCTCTAGGGGTGTAGCCACATTAAATGTGATGGCAGCCAACATGACTTTTCTGTGAACTTGGTTGAGTCTTTGACATGCTGAGGGCTCCAGATTTATCCAATTAGGCTGAAATTTGGATATGTTATAATAGACACCCATTGGAACAACTTCTATCAAGGATGTCTCCTCATCCGATCTGTGTAAGTTGCTGAAATGAGGACTGCAAGATGACCCCCGAAACTGGACTGATAAGGAGTGTGGCCCAAATTGGGTTTGTTTTTAAGCTCATATTCCTCTTATCCCAATCAGCCCTTAACAAGCATGGATTGCATCAAATGTGATCTCTTGCTGTCTTAACCTACAAAACAAACAAAAAAGAGGTAATTGACTCAAAATAAAGAGAAACTAAGCAAAGTCACTAAGTAAAGAAGGCATGCGAATGTATGAAATTATGAACTTATCATATATTAGGAGGTTAGTCAGTATTAGTGTGATGTTGAATTGTATTATGTTTTGAGTAATAAAAAAAAGGTACATTCTTTGTACATTAGGTCAAGGTTGAACGGGGTTCTAACATTCCTTGGGCCAATGGATCCTTGGGCTATTTTGCAATTTGGCCCAAAATGCCTTTAAAGCTCAAATCGAGTCTAACCGTAAAACTAACTTCACAATTAACATTTTAATTGTGATTTGTGACTTAATCATTAAGTTATATCCTTACTCCGAATAGTTTGACTTGGTCATTCATTTTGGTCAAACATGTTGACTTTGACCATTGACTTTCAATGTCATATCCTCTTCATTTGTTTCTCAAGTTTCTTTCTCTTTTCATTTGTTTCTGTAATCACATTTCTCGGTGTGCAATCCATAGGTTCCTTTTAGCAAGGTAGTGGGTTGACTCAACTTCTCTGAGTTGACTTGTGAATTAAAACTCACTATTTAATTCTTCTTGTTAGTGAAGGTCAATTATGATTAAACCTTTCAGGACTTTCACAAACCATGGTTGATTCCTAGCAGCATATCATGGTTATTCGAGCTAAATAGGGGTTAGGGAAGAACCTATTCAAATTGGAATGGCCGTGCAATTGAGTCATTCTCTTTTACAATAATACTTATTCACATTATTAGATAATGGAATCTAATGTCAAATATCCTAATGTGAATTATTTCTTTCTCTGATTATCCTGATAAGATTTAAAGACCTCTTATTTCAAATATTATACATTACTCTATGTAGAGATTTAATCAATCATATCATTGGAGTATTCTCTCTCCTTACCGAGAGTAAAACTTCCTTGTTGTACATTTATTTGCCTCCATGACTTTATTGAGAGTCATGATAAACACATTTAGGTCATGTCTTCTATAACACAACTGTACAGTGCCCTCAAAGACAAACAACATAGCCACAAGACATCTATAATGTCTCATATCTAAGGATTAGTTTGCACCATTGCAATCTATGAGTTCTAGTTTGATATGTGAGTAAAGACTTCCATTCTAGAACTCATGTATTTGATAGCTTCAGTGTACTTGTTCTCCTGCAAGCACCTACACACATATCTTGGTGTCACTACACTTAATGACTTGAGACCTCGTCATTCTCTACATATAGAGAAGATACTTGTGTATTGGTCTTGGCAGAATATCAATGCCCAATTGATAGTCCTATGACCAAGAACATATTTAGGATTAAGGAACATAATAAGTCTCGATGTATGCAATCTCATTACATAGTTCTCACATTCACTTATATATTCATAGGACTATATTTGTTTGACTGTTATGATAATATACCAAATATCATGGTTCAAAGCAACTGGTCTTGCCCATGAATAACTTAATAAGTCATTACATAAGATGTCCTTAACATTTATTATCGTATAATTAGTTGGCTTTAAGGGCACACTACTAACAATTCTAGCCACCCAAAATGCCATATTTGAACCTTAAGAGCCTAGAGGAAATAGCTCTCCTCCTCTAAAAAATTGTACCCACCTATCTTCAGTGGGTTCTTCAATCTTGGTAAGTTTTTTTTCTTTTTTATATGTATTTAATTTCTAATTTTAATTGTTGTTGTTAAGTTTTATGATTTAGGGTCTCGGTGAATGTTTTGGGAGATTAATTGTTATATATGTTTTATTTTTGAAACTTGAATTATTAATTAGTATATATGATTTTTGGTGTCTAGTATTTCTTATTAGGATATCATGTCACATGATGATAATAGACCGACAAAGAGATGAAAGACTATTTATTCATTCCTAAAAAAAAAGCAGTAACGATAACAATGATACACTTTCTGCATCTAATGTTGATACTTCAATTTTTGAGGAACTTACTCAACTCGGATCTCAAATAGTTGAACAATGTGTTTGATTTGATATTTATTTATATTCTATACTTCTTTGTGATATATTTGCTCGTAATGTGGCCTTGTTTGATTTATAAAATTTTATTTACATTTTTGTTTCAAGAGAAAAGAAAAACTTATAATATATCTCTTATAAAATTAAAAAAATATTTAACCACTCTTATAAAAATTCCTAAGTCCGCCATTGATCAATGAGTACAACAAAAACTATAAGCACATTAGGGAGAGGGCTGGGTTGGTGGTGGTGGTTTGGTTTGGGTGTGATGGGCTAAGGAGATAGGGTTTATTTGGGTGAAATTGCATTTGAGACAAATTTTGGGGGGAGGGTATCGGGCTGATTTTATGTTAATTGTTTTTTTGTTTTTAATTCAACAGGCCCAGTTTTATATATAAAAAATTAACCGAGCCCAAAACGACGTCGTTTTGGTCAGGTCACTTGAAAAGGAAAAGGAAAATATGATGCCCGCAAAGGCAGGCCCCAGTACTACCTGCTGCCTCTACAGCAGCTGCGCTCCCATCTACATCCAACCACAAACCACCGGCGACGACGACGACGCCTCCTCCTCTTCGGCGGCGACGACCAATCCTCCTCCTCTCTCTCTCTCGCTCTCCCCCACACCCCACAGGTAAACACTGTTGTTGTATTTTTTGATTTCTTATTTCTCTGTTCTATTATTGGCTGTTATTTTATATATTTTCATTGGGTTTTTATTGTTATGGATATTTTAGGAAAAATAGAATTGGAAAGCTGTTAAATTGCTCTGGGTGTTGCTGTTGTTTGATTTTGCTGTTTTCCGTTCTGGCGGAGGAAAGTTTCTTTTACTCTCTCTCTGTCTCTATCTTTCTCTCCGCCTCTAGTTTTGAAATTAAACTGCCATCTCCCAGAGGCTTAGCCGCCAAAACCAAACGACCACGTCACTCTTCCTCTCTAGCAACAAGAGCTGCTAGGTTCAGAGCTCAAAATCACAGCCTCTTTTGAATTTTCATCTTGGGAGAACTATTTTTTGTTTCGTATTAAATTTCTGATTGCTATTTTCTCATATGTAATTTGTTTTATCATTAATTGTTACTTTATTAAATCGTTTCTAGAGCCAAAGCGAGTGGAAGTGTTCTGATGGAGGCACTTTTAGGGTTTAAGGAAGAATCAACAGATTATGACCAACTTGTGATATCCAAGCCGTCGTCATCAGCATCCTACAGCTACAAATTAGTGCCGTGGTTGAGCTGGGACGAGTGGCTTTTCGTCGACGAATCTCTCTTTTCGAATTCACCTGAATCTGTGGCCTCCGCTTTAAGAAGAGTAAGAGAACTTTATGTGCTCTTTTTGCTTAGCCCGGAAGCAAATATTTTATTTTAGCATTATATCAGAAATTCCATGTGGATGCTGTTCTGTTTATTTCTCTTTCTTGAAAAAAATAAAAAATAAAAACTCTTTTGGCTGGCTCGCCATGAAATTCTTAGCATGTTGTTGAATATGATTGAATCTTTTTTATTTGCTCCTATAATTTTGTAAACAATGGAGGAAGTTAATTTTTTAGTGGGTTCTGCTTTAAATTGAATTTTCTGGTGGTTTCTGGAAACGGTATTTATGTCTTTCATCTCTGACTTCTTGTTTAAAGATATCAGCATGGAGAAGCAGAGGTTGTCTTCCTGTTGTAATTGAAGTTACGGCGTCGATTATTGAAATTCATCAAAAAGATCCTCACTTTAGGTACCTTTTACCTCCAAATTCTCTGAGCATTTTTTGATCCACTTCTTATATCTTTCTTTTTTTCATCCCCGGTGAGGGGCAGGGGCAGGGGGATACTTAATGCCAAATGTTATTTGCTTTGTGGTTTCTGTTTGTAATTTTATCTCATTTATCGCTTTAAATTCCAACCGAAAATAATGTATTTGTCCTACTTTGGTAACAACTTCATGTATGTGTTTTGTGAATTATAGAAAGGACCAGTCAAATGATGCTTTGGATAATTGCAGAGCAGATCAATCAAGTGATGCTTCACTTTCAGACGAAATGCTGGCCATGTTATATTGTATGGCAATCATGAGGTGTGGATCCTTTAATGTTTTGGTTCTTAAATCCCTCCATTCTTTTATCTAGTCCTTATCATATGGTGATGTGTGGATGAATGTGATTAGTAGTAGTACCATTGTATCCACAGTGCAATAATTTGTAGAAAAAGGTCCTTCATCAACTATTGGTAGTTTGGAGTGGGTTTGAATGGCTGATCAAGAGGTAGACTACTTGTAAGATGCATAGGCTAGTTGCATGGTGTGCTGTATTTCGTGATGTTTACTGGTTCACCGTATGCCTTGTATCTTCACCAATATTGAAATTTTGTTTTGATTGACTAAAATTTTGTAGGCCTTAGAAAGAGCTCCAGCATGATATTAGGGATGCAGGATAGATGTATATGTTCTTATTATTGGTCATTTGGAAGAAAATCCTTGAGCATCCAAAATTCTTGTCAGGAATTTTTCTTAATATATGCATTCAGTGCTTATCTTCAATATAAGATTTCCTTTAAAATGGGTTCTTGTAACATGCAGGATTTTTGTTATAAGTTCTATATCCTGTCACATTCCTGATATTTGTAATATATCAAGATAGTTTATTGTGGATTGCCTCCTTTCAGGGTTTCACATGATTAGGCACAGAACATAGAAATTAAGTATTTGCAATTCATTGGCCATACGAGAATTGGCCTTCATATATATATATATATATATATATATATATCACTCAATATTGTAGGGGTTAATGCTTAACTCACATTTGTTTTTGCCTCCTGTTTATTTGTGTCACATGTTGTTACATGCTATCTTTTTCTAAAGGCTTGTGAATGGTGTTGTTGAGAAGACACGGAAGAAAACAGAGGTTTCAATTGCTGTGGCTGCTGATGCAATTGGCATTCCACGTACACTGATTGATATTCGTCATGGTGAGCAACTCCTACTTTTAATCTGCACATTTATCATTGGTTCATTGATTAAGATTTTTGTAGTCTAGACTACCAGCCATGCCCATTCGACCGAAGCATACTCTTTGAAGTAATCTTTTGAACACTAATGATACCCTTTTGATCTTTGATTTCTTTTCTTCTTCTTTTTTTTCACTTGGTTATTGCTTTGATTTTTAGAGGGATCTCACCGTGAACTTCCCGCACTGGAGGTTGTTCGTAGTGCTTCAGTTAAGGTATGCAGCATGCTTGGTAATTCAAATTTTGTTCCTTCCGATTCTTCTAATGCTTACTCTTTATGATTAGATTTTATGTCCAACACATCTAGTTTATTTTAATAAGTTTCCTACTAAAATTTCATTTGTGTTTGGATTAACTGATTGTGGGTGCTGCACAGAATGGTTGTTTTGTTGATAAGATTTCTGAGTTCTATTAAAAATTGTTACAACTGGCTTTGTTTTTCCTTTCGACTGCAAGAAACAGTTTACAGAAGATATCATGTATTCACTTATTTAACTTGTGGAAAATTCTAAACTATATGACCTAGTTTTATGAATGTAATAATAGGGTATTATTATGAACAATTTATCAGTTTTTGGAAAATATTACCAAGTTATTTTTTAGGAGAAAAGTGGCCTTTCACACTTATCTTAATCCTTTATGGTTTGGAACATGGATAACTACTATGAAACTTGTCAGTGTATGAAATTTTAGATTGAACATGGCTCCACAACTGAAAGTTCATTTATTTCTTTCCATTGTTGTGATGCACTAACATGTATTTACCAATTATATTTGGAAACAAAGAATCAATTTAAATTTGGGATGTTAAACTATATCCATGGTTGGTGTTTTTAGGCCCTTGATTGGTTGAAGTACTACTACTGGGAGCCTCAGAAGAAGGCAATTCCGTTTCATGGTAATGAGACTGCTGACATCAGAACTGAGATAAGGTCGAAATTCCATGAATTGGCTTTCTGCTTAAGAGTTAAGAACACCCCTCCGTCGCTTTCTTCAAAAGTCAAGGAAAAACGTGGTATGAAAAACTTATTTCTTCGAATTATGTTGATTATAGTGCCTAAAATCTTTGATCCATAGGTTGTAATATTTTCCAATGATTTTACATAGAGTGCAATACGCCCTTGCACCTATGACATATAGAACCTCTCATGTTAATCGCAGCCAGATTTTGTAGGAATTGTACTGTGTCATGTGTCATAATCCAACAATGAAATATATGCT